CTGACCTCAACACAGAATGCAATTCCAGCACCTGCTACGAGAATGACCTTGCAAACCATTATGTCCAATGTCGTGCCTGTTGAGATCCTCTGCACTTTTATTTTTGGGTTGTTTTGTGTGTGTGTGTGTGTGTGTGTGTGTGTGTCTTTATTTGAGACTGGGTCTCACTATGCAGTTCAGGCTGACCTTGAGCTCACTTTGTAGCCCAGGCAGGTCTCAAACTCGCAACGATCCTCCGGTCTCAGCCTCCCAAGTGCTGGGATTACAGGTATGCGCCACCACGCCTGGCCCTCTGCACATTTAATTGGGTTACCTTATGATGCATTTGTAACAGCTTACCGTTTTTTAGATATCCTGGAAATTAGAACCTTGTGTCTTTTCATTTTCTTGATGTCCTTTAGAGCTTACAAGTTTGATAGATTGATTGGTTTTGTTTTCTTGCTATGCGTGCAGGTCGGGCTGGCCTCAAACTCAGGGAGACCTCCTGCCTCAGCCTCTGGAGTGCTGGGATGACAGGTATGTGCCTCCATGCCCAGCTCAGAACTTTTAGTTTTGATCAAGTGCATTTTTTCTCTGGTTGACTGTGTTTTAATGTCGCATTTAGGGAGTTATCGTATAGTACAAGGGCCCGGAGAGTCATCCCTACATTTTCTTCTAAGAGTTTGGTAGTTTTAGCGCTTACCTTTAGGTTCATGATCTCTTTTTGGACTCTTGATTCTCCTTCATTGATCTATAGTTCTAAAGCTAATCCAGTACTTATGCTTTCTTCAGTTCTGTAACTTTGTAGTAAGTTTTAAAACTGAGGTTGAGCGTGGTGGCCCACACCTGTAATCCCAGCACTCAGGAGGCTGAGGCAGGAGGATTGCCATGAGTTTGAGGCCAGCCTGGTCTATATAAGCGAGTTCAAGGCCAGCTGAACTACACAGCAAATCCTTATCTCAGAAAATAAAAAAAAGTGAGTTAAAAGTGAGTTCTGAGTTGAGCACCTGTGTTCTTTTCAATACTGTATTTGTGATCCTGGATTTCTTGAATTACAGATGAATTTTAATATCAGCTTGTCACCTTGTCCAAAAAGCCAGTTGGGAGTTTGGGGATTGTTGCATTGACCTGGAAGATCTATGTAAAGAATGTGAGATAGGTATAGATATCTTAAGTTTTTATTGTTTGGGAAGTACAGTCATTTTAACAATATTTTTCTCTATACCATGAGTCTGGGATGTTTTTTCCTTTTTTTTTTTTTTGTCTTTTTGAGACAGGGTCTCACTAAGCAGTTCAGGCTGGCCTTGAGCTCACTTTGTAGCCCAGGCTGGTCTCGAACTCACAAGGATCCTCCTGCCTCAGCCTCCCAAGTGCTGGGATCACAGGCGTGCACCACCACGCCCGGCTTGTTTTTTCCAGTTATTTAGGTCTGTTGTATTTTTTCAATGTGTTATAGTTTTCAGAGTATTAATTTTATATTTCTGTTCAGTTTCTTTCTAGGATCAGGCATGGTGATGCACGCCTATAATCCCAGCATTCAGGCGGCCAGCCTGGGCTATAAAGTGAGTTCAAGGCCAGCCTGAACAGCACAGTGAGACTCTGTGTCAAAACAACAAAACAAAACAAAAGACATTCTCCTAGGTATTTATTCTTTTGCTGCTGCTATAAATCAGTTTCTTTTGAGGTACTGGGATTGAACCCTTGGCCTTCACACAGCTACATCCCCAGCCCCTTTTTATTTTTTATATTGAGCCAGAGTCACTAAGTTGCTAAGTGAACTTGTGACCCTCCTGCCCCAGCCTCCCAGAGGCCTGCTGGAATTGTTTTCTTGATTTTGGAGTGTTCATTGCAGGTGCCTGGAACTGCACTTGCTTCCTGTATTCTGCTCCTTGCTCGTGTCCAGCTTGAAGTCCCCTGGTGGCACATGGTGAAAGGCCAGTGCAGGGCTAGGCTGGCGGCAGTGACCCTGCAGGGGAGGGGCTGCCTGGGCGGCAGCAGCCGTGCGGCAGAGCTGGGAGGGGAACAGGGACATCAGGACTGAGCACAGGTGTGGCGACTTCCCTTCGGACTGCGCAGGAGGTGCTAAATTTTTGAGATGAGGGTCTAAATTGTCCGGGCTGGCCTTGATCTTGTGACCCCCCTGCTTCAGCTTTCCAGACGGCTGGGGTTACAGCCATCTTTTCTTCGTGGGAAGCTCTGGTGGAGTCCGTTGCTGACAGAGGGCCGGTGTAGCGAAGAGTGAGGATGCAGCGGGGGGGGGGGGGGGGTGTGTGTGGCAGGAAGTGAGAGCAAGGTCCCGGCGAGGGGGAGGCGAGGAGTAAGCCAGCGGCAGCGCAGGGACCAGGGGGTGCAGGAGGTGCCCCTGCCGCCGCTCAGCTGGCCCCACGCGTGCCCCAGCCTGCCCTCCGAGCCCGCAGCCGCCGCCAGATGTGCTGCTGATTCTCTGCCGCGGGCCTGGCCCTGCGCCTGACAGCTCGGAGCGGTTCCCAGGCCGACTGCAGTCACGGCCCTCAGTGAGCCGCTTGCGGCTGTCCCCACGGCTCCCCGGGACCTGTCTTCCTGAGCACAGCCCACTGCGCAGAGGTCAGCAGGTCTCCTGCAACCCGCATGAGCTGCAGGTGCAGCTCCTCAGTGGGTCACCTGGGCCCTCACAGCCCGGTCCCCACTGCTGACCCAGCGTCTCTCCACAGGAGAGCTGGGGGCCGGGGCCAGGGTGGGGCTAGATTCCCGGGAAGCCCACCCAGCAGTGACACTGCAGGCCAGCGGCTCCCCAGCGTTGCTGCTCAGCCGGGGTGGGTGCAACTGCCCCCTTCAGCCCAGCTGATTCCCAGTGATGCCACCCAAGGGCAGCAGTGAGGAGGAGGAGCCTTGCAGGGCCGGGAAGGCCCAGAAGGCCCCTGGTGAGACACCTGCTCCCACCTGTGAGCGCTGCCTCCTTCATCAGAGCATGGAATCCACACAGCCCAGCTTGTTGCTATCAGGGTCCTGTATTTTTTTCCTTGGCCTTCAAACGCTGAGCAGGGGGTGGTGGCACACGCCCATGACCCCAGCTACTCAGGAGGCTGAGGCAGGAAAAATTCCAAATTTTCAGTCAGCCTGGGCCATTTAAGAGACTTGGTTCAATCCAAAATACTGGGGGGAAGAAAGAAAGGAAAGAACAAAAAAGCTTTTGCCTATCAGACTCTCTTCCCTGATAGTTATGTTTTTCTTCTCCACTTGAAAGGGCAGCTGGCCAGCCTGGGCCAGTGCACGCGCCCCCCAGCCCGTGTCTGCCCGAGGTTCCCAGAGCTGACTCTGCTCACTGCTGCCCAGCCTCCCTCTGGGTCCTGTGGAGACCCGGCGCCTGGCGTCAGCCGCAACTGGCTCCACTCTGGGGTGACACGACCCCCGGCGGGGCCTGTGGCCGGGGTCTGAGAGTCAGCAGCCCCGATGGGAAGCCCAGCAGCCACGGGGCAGCAGGGAGGTGACCTTGCCACAGGGGCTTGGCTGGCACGCAGGGTTCTTGTGTGCCAGGCTATGTGCCAGCGGCTCCTCCGGTGAGCCTGAGGCTCGTGGTGAGCCACAGCCAGCCGCACGCACAGGGCCATCGGCTCTGCTCAGCTGCAGCCGGCGGAGACGGCAGGGAGGCTCGAGGCTGCCCTGGGATGGTGAGAGGCAAGAGGCCGTTCCAGTAGGTTCACAAGTCTTGTGGCCCGGCCCTGCCAACCACCTGGTCCCCTTGGCCATGTGACCCTATGGGCAGGCCTGGGCTGCGGCAGGCCCCGTGGGAGCTCCCCCAGGATGGCACGGGTCCACAACCTGGGGCCAGGAAGGGAGCTAGTCTCTCCAAGTGGGACCCAGGGCAGCCCCATCCACACTGCCCCCGAGGGAATGGTGCTCCCTGAAGTCTGAGAACCCCTGGGATGAGATGGTCCCCAAGGTCCTGTCCCCATCTGCCCCCAGCCTGAGCTGCCTCAGCACACCCCCACCTAGATCTGAGCCCCTCCCCCCCCCCGGCTGCTGGCATCCCTGGGTACACAGGACCCCAGCAGGGCCGGCGCCAACAGCCAGCCTGAGGCACGGTCCCTCCCGGCAAAACCCCAGCTGGTGACACACACCCTAGAGCTCCTTCTCCTCTTGTACTTCTAGGTCACTCCTCTTGTACTTCTCCTCTTGTACTTCTAGGTCACTCACTTCTAAGCCAGGAGTTTAACGTTGTCACAGCCCTCTCCCAACACAGTGGCCTGACTGGGCCAGGCCCCGACTTTATTCTCTTCAGTCTGCGAGACCCAGGTTCTTGTCCCGGCCCCGACGATCACTGGTTTGGGCGGGGCAGCCCGTGGTAGAAGCACCTGTAGGCTTTGCCTTGCGTAGTTCTCCAGGAGGGCGCTGGATGGGTGAACTCATGAATCAGTTCACTGCGTGACAGGAAGACACACAGGACACTGCAGTCCACGCCTGCGACACTGCGGACTGCGCGCACTGGCCGGGGCGGCACCGGCTCTGGAGACGGGCAGCTGCGCCGGGAAGGGCACTGGGTGCTTCCCAGGCCAAGGGGAGGCTCCATCCGGACTGCAGTGGAGCCGTGCAACTGTACACACATCTCAAAGCTCATCCTGCTGTTTTTACAAAGATGAGTTTTACTGTGTGATACACCGCCTAATAAAACACAGGCGTTGGGACCGGATGGCTTTTAAAGGTGCCTGGACTTCTGATTTGGGTGGGGGAAACTGACAGCTACCTGGCAGGAGGCGGCACACCGATACCTGTGCCTGGGGGGCTTTGCCGCAGGTCCCTGCCGTCCCTCCCCTCGGGCGGCAGGAGTGCTCAGGGCCTGATCTCAACAGCGGCCCCCGGCCCCTAGCAGGCAGGGCATCAGTGACCCGTCTCGGGTGGCTTGTGGCATCTGTTGGGGCTGCTACCAAGCTGCCGAGACCCTAAAAGCTGCTCTAGTAGGTGTCACTGTCGTCGGTGGGAGCAGGTGGGTGGCAGTTAACTAATTTAATGAACAAAAATCACAAAGGAAAAATATGACGAGGAGGTGGAGGAGAGGAAGCAGCCGGGAGTCAGGCTTGCTGGGATGGCAGCCTTGTCTCCGTCGCGGCGCCTTTACTGTACACCTCTGCGGCAGTGAGCGGCCCGCGCGCCACCAACCCGACCCCCGCCCATCACTCGATACAGAAACTCTTCGCGGTCGTCAGTGCTGGGAAAACACCGAGAGCCCCCGCCCCCACCCGGCAGAGAGCACAGGGCACCATCGCATCCACGGCCCTCCCGCCATGACCAGGTCTGCACAAGCCGCAGAAGGAATCCGGACCCCCGTGGGGACAGGGACGAAGAGTAGCTCTAATGCCAGGAGGGCCCTCTGCTCCCGAAGTCTCAAACTGGGCCTCAAGGTAGCAGGGCGTTAGCTTCAGTGAGCCAGGCCCTCTCCTGACTGCAACCGGAGCTCCCCCTCAACATCTGTCCGCAGACTTCCGGCCGCCGCCAGCCCGCCAGGTCCCCCAGGCGCTGTGGCCGAGTCCTTGCTCCCACCCCTCACCCTGGGGTGCTTCTCTACCCTGTACCGCAGGGGGTGCCCCCATGCCCGGGCACCCAGCCATCTCAAAGCTCTACCCAGCTCTCCAGCCAAGCAGGAGCCACAGCTGCAGCAGCTGGCTAGAGACCTAAGGAATTTGGGGTGCGTCCAGCCTGCTGACCACAAGCCACACTGCAGGTGGGGACAGTGTGAGTGGTGTGCAGGGGCTGCCAGGACACCTTGGTGCAGATCTCGAGGGACACTGGGTGTGTTCTAGATGCTACTTTCCCACACACCGCCAGTCAAGGTCCGCTTCAGTAACACGCACTGAAGCCCGGCGGGGAACAAAGAGGGGACCGTGGCCTGGGGACACTTGTTCTGTGCGGCTGCAAGGGCAGGGGAGGCCAAGGCAGCGGTGGTGGTGGTGGTGGCGTTGGTGGTGGTGGCTTCCTCTGACAGCGGCTTGGCAGTGCGAGGCACAGCAGCCAGCTGCTCTGGGTATGGCGCGGGCCAGCAGCTCAGCAGCCCGACTGCTCTCGGGGTCTGGTCAAAGCAAATGCTTTGGGACACGCCTGCTCCGGCTCTCAGGGCTGGCCCCGAACGGCCTGCAGGAGATGCACGTCTTAGTGCTGGGAAGGGCGTCTTCTGCAGTCTGAAGCAGAGACAGGCAGCATCAAACTCCCCTGCGCTCTGGAAATGCAGCCTTCGCAGGCCCGCCTGGAGGAAACGCTGGATACACGCAGGCCTTCAGCAGCACCCGCCCAGAGTCCATAGGCCGGGTGGGGTAGGGGTGGCACCCAGGGATCAAGCACAGAAGTGCCAGAAGAGCTCACACGGCTGGGCTGTGACCTCACCCGCACAGCGGACTCGCAGGCTAAACGCAGGCATTTTACTCTACAGTGGTTTCTCAGAAGAAAACACAACGGACTCAGGCTATGGTCTGAGAAAACATCTTGCATGCTGGATCAGCTGCTCTTTGCAGGAAAATAAACTGCCAATTTGCTACGGTCACCTCAAACGCTGCGAGGTGCCTGCACTAACTGCTTAAAGCTTTGCAGGACAAGCAAGCAGGCAGAGGATGCCCTTGGCTGCTGCTAACAGCCAGGATCGAGAGAGCAATGGTTGTTCTTGTTGTCCAAGAAATAATTTTCTAGCAAAATACACCTTTATTAAATCTCACAGCCAGCAGCACTTGCAGGCCCCAGTAGGCTCTCAAAGCAAACGTGGACATTTGCACAGGCTGCAGAGGGCAGGCCGGAGGAAGAGCTGGAGGCCGCCACTGGGCTGAGCTGCTGCGGGGAGGACTTGGCAGGCCCGCGGCCCGCTGTCAGCCTTCACGAGGGCAGGGCGCAACGCGGAGCTTTAAGCCTGGAACCGACGCCACCTTCCTTAAGCAGCCGGGCCGGGGCCTCCCGCACTTGTGGCCCACAACCGGCCGCTGGCAGGAAGCCACCTGTGCCTCTGGCCCCTTCTCTGGTCTGTGTGTCCCTGCTCCCCCGGCCGGGCTGGCCTGCTGCAGACACGCGGCAGGACACATCTCGCGGGCCGTTGCCTTCTCGGACGGCGTGAGGCTGGGGCAAGCACACTCGCCTTGGGGTGTGAGGCCTAACACACCCCCACGCCACGAGTGTAACGGGCTGAGGAGGCCCCACGGCGCTCCGTGGTGGGGCGCTGCCCTTGGGCAGGGGAGACGTGGGTGCACCCCTCGGAGGGAGGGACGCGTGGGCGCAGCTTCAGGGCTGCGGGTGCTGTCTGTGCAGAGAACAAAGCGTTCCTAGCACCCGGCCTGCGGCCACCGCCTCCATCACGCACCGAGCAGCAGGAGGCCCCCTGGGCCTGGTCACCGGCCCCGCCCCGCCCAGGGGTGAGCGGTGCGTGCCGCCCACCCTGCACAGGGCGGCCAGGGTTGCGGGTGCTAATCCAGACAGAAGGGACGCAGTGGCGCCAGTGCTGTCAGTCAGGACGGGGACGGCGCCCAGTGCGTCTCTGCTTCCCGCCCGGACACCCTGGGCTCCCAAGCCTAACGAGGGGGGTGCGGCCGGGTCCCACAGCGTCCCCGTGCCCGCAGGCGCGGCCTGCTGACAGCCGAACCCAGTTCAGGTCGAAGCGCACCACCCCGAGCCCGGGGCGCAGAGCCCCAGTGCGGAGCCCCGCTCTCTCAAGAACCGCAGGCGCTTCGGCCTCAGGGCGGCTCTGCAATGCTCCAGTGAGAAGCCCTGCCCCGCGGAAAAGCTTTAATGAGGGTGAGCACCGCGGCCTCGCCGCCCCCGCTGCCCCTCCAGGAAGACCCCTCCCCGTGCACCCTGAACTCCGGTCCTACAAAGCTGCAAGCTGCAGAAGAGAGACGGGCCGGAGGGACGGGCGTCCGGGAAATCCCACCACCTCCCCCGAGAAAGCCACGTCTGGAGGGGGGCTGGCTGGCACGACCGAGCCTTTCTGGAAGGCACGCAGCGGCCAGGGTCCCTCCTCCCCGCCGGGCGCGAAGGTGTTGGGGGAGTCCTGGGGCCCCACCTACCACGCCATTTCCACTTTGCTATCTAAAATGTCGTTCCCTTCGTCCCCCAAAGATGCCGTGTCCCCGCCTTATCCGGCTGTGTCCAGAAGCAGCGCCCGCCCTCCAGGGCCACGCGCCTCTCTGGTCCGCACACACGGGGGTCCCTGCTGCTTGTACCCTAGAGCTCCACATTGAGAAGTGAACCGGAGGCGAATCTGTCCTCTGCCCGCAGCCGCCACCTGAAGGGCGGTCCTGCTGCGGCCACCCACGGGTCCGTTTCCCTAAGCGAGGAGAAGTGGGGTGCGCAGTGCGCCGGGGCTGCTGCCGGGAGCCGCTCCTGCTCCCCATAGGACGGTGAGTGACAGGTCTCCGACAACAGCATCCACAGCGACCTCTGCAGAGCCCGCGCCTCACGCGGTGCCGTCCCAGTCGCCCTGGGGCTCCACTGAGCCGTTGGTCACCTTCTTGACTTTCTTCATGTTCTCCATCACCCCTGACGTCGTCACCCTGAGAAGGGAAAAAGTCCGTAAGCAGGGAAGTCCCCGCCTCAGCTCCTGGCTCCTGCCCGCCTCACCCCGGGCTCTGCCTCTGCGGGTCAGGCATGGACGCAGCGCTCCTCCGCTGCGGGCCCCAACGCCTCTTCCCTCTGTTGCAGTAGTATCACAGGGGCCAGCACGGGCCACCCGACCCTGCAATCCCGACGCCTCAGTGCGGACAGGATGAAGAGCAGCTCTCTGGGCTGGCCGGCTGACACTGTCCGCTCCTGCCTCCTGTCCACACTGAGCGCGGCTCGCTAGGACACCCACTGCCAGCATCAAGCACTGTCAGCAAGAGACAGACCGCACAATGAAATTTTTAAAAATTTTAGGCCAACATACTTCCAAAATTGTTACACAGATTTAATCCAGTCCTAGTCAAATTACCAACAGCATACCTCACAGAACTACAGAAAATAATCCTGAAATTCATACGGAGCCAGAAAAGACCTATCATAGCGAAAACTGTGGAAAACAAGGGGAAGGCAGGAGCACCACAATCCCCAACTTCTACTACAAAGCTAGCACTATAAAAGCAGTGCGGTACTGGCCAAAAAGCGGACCCGAGGGTCAGTGGAGCAGGTTAGAAGACACAGAAACAACTCCAAACACGCTCGGCCACCTCATCTTTGACAAAGGGACCGAACACCTTCACTGGAAGAAAGATAGCCTCTTTCATAAACGCTGCTGGGAAAACTGGCTCTCCACATACTAAAGACTAAAACTAGACATGTCTCTCACCATGCACTAAACTAAAATCAAAATGGATCAAAGATCTAAATATTAAAACAGAAACACCAAATCTAGTGGAAGAGAGAATAAAATAGGTAGAATTCTTGAAGATATAGGTGTAGGCAAAGACTTTATGAACAAAACCTTGATCACATAGAAAATACTACAAAAAACCAACTGGGATCACATCATATTAAAAAGCTTTTGCACAGCAAAAGAAATCACCCACAGAGTGAAGAGAAAACCTGCACAATGGAAAAAATTTTTCCAGCTGTCCTTCAAAGGATTAATATTTAGAATATAAAAGAACTCAAAAACAATCAGACCCCTAAATTTAAAGACCCAACCCAAATATGGGAATCTGAGATGAATACGCATTTCTCAGATAAAGAAGTACAAATGGCAAATAAATATGAAAAAATGCTCAACATCACTGGTCATTTCAGAAATGCAAATTAAAACAACACCGAGGTTTCATCTCACTCCAGAAAGAATGGCTATTACCAAGAAATCAACCAATAATAAATGCTGGAAGGGCTGTGGAGAAAAGCAACCCTTCTCCAGTGTTGGTGGGAGTGTAGATTGGTGCAACCACTGTAGATATCAGTGTGGAGATTCCTCAAAAACTAAAATTAAGAGGTTCCATGGGGCTGGCGATTTAGCTCAGCGGCAAAAGCTCCTGCCTGGCATGCGCAAGGTCGTGAGTTCGGTTCCCGGTACCGGAGAAAAACCAAAAAAAAAAAGGTTCCATTTGACTCAGCTATTCCCCTTCTAGGTATCTTCCTGAAACAGTTAAAAGCATCATGTCACAGTGATATATGTACACCTATGTTTATAGCAACATGATTTAGCCAGGTGTGATGGCACACACCTGTAATCCCAGTACTAGGGAGGCTGAGGCAGGAGGATAGTTGCAAGTTCAAGACCAACCTGGCTACAAAGTGAGCTCAAGGTCAGCCAGAACTGCATAGCGAGACCCTGTCTCAAAAATGTATTTATATACAATGCAGTGCTTCTTTGCTATAAAGCAAGACAAACTTGAGTCATCTGTAGGAAAATGGATGCACCTCAAGACCATAATCTTGTTTGGAGTAAGTCTGACTCACAAGTATAGATACCACACTGTTTCTGTGTGTGAAAAGCCCGAGGGTGTAAGGAGCATAACGGAGGGCAGGTATTGGGAAGCAGGAAGAAAATGTTCAAATAGGAAGTGGAACAAGGGAGGGACGGAGGAAGGAAAGAAGGGAAAAGGGAAAGAAGAATGGAAGGAGAAACTAGAAACAAAGCTTTTGTAAATGCGGAGGGGAAGGACTGTTGGGAGGGGAGGGAAACGGAAAACAAGAACCAAGCTATACTGCGTACAGATACAAATTCTCTCTGACGAACGTGATCACTATGATATCTAAAATGCACCAACAGAATCTGATTGTGTAAAAAAAAAACCCCAGTATTTATCTAGAAAAAAACACTTAGGCCAAAACAAAAAAAAAAAACAATTGTGGGGGTCCATGAGACAAATGGATCTTCAAGACGCAGCACTGAGAGGCGGATGGGACCAGGTATTCTGCCAGGCCAGCCTCGTGGTGCAGCTCAGCAGCGCTGGGGACGCTGCGGCCCAGCCCTCCAGCTCCTAGCTCTGGCCCAGGGAGCTGCGTGAAGCTGGGGACAAGCTGCAGGTCTCAGGGGGGCCGGGGCGGCCGGAAGGTTTCCTGTGGGCCGGGGCAGCTGTCACCAGCCGACTGGCATCTGTGCCTCTCTGGCCAGCAGCCGAGAGAGAGGCTGCCGCCATGAGCAGTGCAGCTGCGGCTCGGCCGCCTCCTGCTGCCTGAGCAAAGCCCGGTCCCTTCCTTTGCACAGGGCGAGCTCAGCAGCGCAGCCACACAGACGCTCAAGCAGGGCCTGGCCCGGCCGAGTCCATCTCGGCTCCGGACCATGAGCAGCATTCGGGACCCCGGGAAAAGAGAAGGGAAGAGCCCCGCTGAGGCCGATCGCCACGCGCAGCTGAGCTGGCCTAGCAGATTTGGAGTCACAAGCTAGTGAACAGAAAACGTGGCCCAGGGTCACTGTCCACGACGCACGCTGGGCCACAGAGGTCAGCCACAGGTCACCCACATGCAGCCGTGGACAGCCAGCCACTCAGGCATCCGATACAGAGGACTTGTAGGGCTCGTGGCAGCCCTGCCGGTGACTCCAAAGATGGCATTTTTCAGACCTAAGCTGCTGACCGGAAGGAGCTGGCAATGCCTGGGCTCTGAACCAGGCTCCCACCATGCCCCGAAGATGCTTAACCACACGGCCCGTTCCACTTCTCCGAACACCGAGCACGGGCTGGCGGACACCGTGCTTCTGATAGGGTGAATACGCCTGTGGCCCGTGTCTGCATCCTTCCGCTAAACACAGGCCATCCCCGGGGCAGCAGGACGCAGGCAGCACAGATGCTGCCTGCACTGAGCAAAGGGGCGGGGCCGGGGAAGAGGGGAGGGGGAGCGGGGAGATGGGCAGGGAGGGAGGCGGCTTACACAGCTTCCATTTCCAGGTCCTCGTCCTCCTGAGACAGCTGCAGGTAGGGGTTGTCTGAAGCCGGCTGGAATTTGTAACCCGTCAGAACGAAGAACACCAGGGTGGCCATTTCATCCAGGAGCTGCACATTTAAAAAGCACCGAAGTAAAGGGCTCAGTGACGGGTTCCTCAGAAAGCAAGGAGCTGAGCAAGCTGAGAGCCCAGCCGCCCTCGGCTCACTGCGTGCTGGTCAGCGCGGCCGCCCCGCTCCGAGAGTCCCCTCAGGCCGCGCCAGGACCACAGGAGGGGCTAAGGCGGCCAGCCCCCAGGGGCAGGGTACTGGGGCATGGAGCCGGGGCCTCATGCATACAGGCCCGTGTTCTACCGGAGCCACATTCCAGCCCTTCTACTGCCCCCTTTATTTTTTGTTTTTGCAGCAGTGAGGATCTACTGCAGGCCTTCCCCCTGAGCTGCATTCCCAGCCCTTTTAATTTTATTTTGAGATGGAGTCTCACTAAGTCACTGAATTGCACAGGTTGGGCTTGAACTCGTGACCTCTTGCCTTAGTCTCCCGGAGTGCTGAGATTACAGGCAGGCGCCCCCACGCCCACCTTGCTGGTACCTGTGAACAACTCGGAAATCAAAAGGACCTCACACTTGCCAGGCAGGCGCTGTGCCGCCAAGCTACAGCCCCAGCCTGAGGAGCTCATTCCACACCACACCTTCCTACAGGGCAAGTTCGTCAAGACAAAGGGCATCGAAATCACTTGGTGGCTGACTCTGGCAGCAAGACACTTCTACGCCACTGAAGAGACACTGTGATAGTACCACACGCACAGGGAGGGATCCAGAACCACTCCAAGCCCTGCGAGTTTTAATCACTCTCTCTCTCTGCCTGAGGCTCTCCTCTCCACAGAATTTTTAAATTGAAAACTAAAATCAACAATGCAGCTGGGCATGGTGGTGCACGCCTGTGAGCCAGCACATGGGAGGCTGAGGCAGGAGGACTGTTGCAAGTTTGAGGCCAGCCTGGGCTACAAAGTGAGCTCAAGGCCAGGCTGAACTGCAGAGCGAGTCCCTGTCTCAAAAAGACAAAAAAATCAATCAATCAATCAATCGATCAACAATGCAATTCTTCCTAGATTGCTCAGATACCGCAGCAGTTGAGCTGGAGGGTCTTGGTGGCCACCCCCAGGTCCCCAGGTAAAGCAGGGCAAGCAGAGGCCATGCGCAAGACTCTGTCCCCACATACACATCCTCAGCCCTCTGGGGGTCCCAAGGTCAGCGCACCTGGTAAAGCCACTTCCACTGGAAGGGGACAGCCAGCTTCAGGAGGAAGGCGATGATCCTGGTGAAGTAGATGTAACACACGATCTACGGACGACAGGAGGAGGAGGAAAACCACTGGGAGATAAGTGCCAACGCTTGCGTCCAGAGAACAGGACCACACACTGCACGCACGCGTGTGCTCACGTGCTAACCACAGCGCTCACAATGCGCAGAGACGACTCCCACCGGCTATAGGCAAAGGAGTTCTTCCTGTGTCCAGGTGACCAAGACACTGAGCACGGTCACCCCCGAACGGCCCGGGAGGACAAATCGATTCTCGCCTGGCCACAAGCACGCCCCTGGGCCTGTCACCAGGGGGCCACATCGTCACTCTCAGGCTTGGAAGAATAGCTCGCTGTTCCCAGGGAAAAAAAGGACTTCTGGTCCCTGCCAGCAGATGCAGGGCGTGGTCTACGCCGGGCACCCCTGCTCCCTGGGACCAGGCTCGGGATTCCGGCATGAAGGCCCAGTGCCCTGGAAGAGGCTCTCACTTCAGGGGATGACACTATCCCTCGCTAGAACCACAGCTGGAGTGGTCGCCCGTCCCTGCTGTTCTGCTGAAGCCGTGAACACTGCTCAGACCCCGGTGCGGTCCCACTCGACAGTCGAAGCTAAGCTGGCAGCAGAGCCTTCGAGCCTGTGAGGACTCGGGAGGTGAACCGGCGCGCTCCGCACCCCTGGGGACAGCACACTTGTCTGGGCGCGGCTCACAGCTGTCTGCACGGCCACCACTGCCCGCTGTGTACATTTTACAAAAACTGCCTCAAATTTCTAGTCTTAAGGGAAATATTACCACGACCCGAGACCAGCTTCCTGCAGGGTATCTGAGAGGAGACACTGGAGAGCGAGCTCGGTGCTCCAGTAATTTCAAGTGAGGAAAAGTGCCATGCAGGAGCACCGTGACTCTGCAGCCCCATTTCCCAAACGAGCCAAACGGTGAAGCAAGGGAGCAGCTGTGGGCGCCAGAGCCGAGGACAGACGCCCGGCGAGGACCTGCCACCCAGGGAGTGGGCTCCTCAAGGGCCCGGTGCTAGGATTCGTTTCTGCTTTCACATCAAGCATGAATTATTTTTCTAAGTTGGTTTTTGTTTTGTATTGTTTTTCTGAGACAAGGTCTCACTATGTAGTCCACGCTGGCCTCGAACCTCAGGACAACCCTCCTGCCTCAGCCTTCCAAGTTCTGGGATTACAGGTATGCACTATATGCATGGCTCTTTCCTATGTATTTTAAGCCAAATCTAAAAGTAAGATTTAGGAAGTAGTGGCCCAGATATTTAATTTTCATTTTAAAGCCAGGCATGGTGGCGCACACCTTAACCCCAGCACTTGGGAGACTGAGGCAGGAGGATCATTGTGAGTTCAAGACCAGCCTGGGCTACAAAGTGAGCTCAAGACCAGCCTAAGCTGCATAGTGAGACCCTGTCTCAAAAAGACCAAAAAAACAAAAAAATAACCAAAAACCATTTTAAGAGACATGACCTGATGTTAAAAAGTAGAACTCGAGCAGGACCAAGTAGCTCAACCCCTCACGAGTTCCTACACCTTTCAAAGTTCATTTGTTCTGATCTTTGACCTGATTTCACAAGGCTTAGGATTGCTTTACTTACCAGGACATAGTAGTGTCTGAAAAGCTTCAGCTTTGCTAAGTTGATAGCAGCTAGGGAAAAGAAAGAACAAAATGAAAAGCTCATAACTATCTTTCCCCACTTCCTACTTAACTTTCGCATAGGGTCTCACTTCGCTGCCTAGGTCATCCCTGAGCTCATGGGCGCTAGCAACCCTCCCTCCGGCAGGTGTGCACCACCCAGCCTAGCTTTCCCCCCACTGAACACTGCGCACGCCCAGGCCCTGACCATCCAGTGGTGGGTCTGAGGCCCTGAGCAAAGTCATGCCTCCGGGAAGGAGACCGCTGGGCAGGCTCCCTCCAGCAGCAGGAACAGCAGCGGGCAGGTGGGCAAGTGGTGCGGCAGGGCATGGACAGCTGACACAGCCACAGCACTGACCACCAGACCCTGTACCTGCCCGAGAGCTGCCTCGCCCCTGGGACCCACAGCAGGCTGGCACTGGAGCCCTGCCTGGGCTTTCAGGGGTCAAGGGTGCAAGCGCAGCGCATCCCAGGGCATCTGGCCAACTTCACTTCTGTCTTCATCGCGGGCCTCGTAACAAGCCCTTCGCAGTCACCCTGCCTGGCTCTGTCCCACCCGCGTGTGCACGCGAGGTCCCTGCCAGGCCATCTAACTTCCTGCCACTGCTGAGGGCTATGACTCACGGACGACCAGGGAGGGTAGCCTGGCTCCCTCCCAGAGCCAGCCTCTCATTCTTCAGGACCATTCCTGCAGGAGGCAGATTCATTTCGCTTAACAGCATTCAGCGGGCGACAAAGCTTAGGGTTCAAAAGCAACTCCAGGAAGCCTACCCCACGTTCCCTTCACGCTGATGAGCAGGGAGGAACGCACAAAAACAGCTCTGAGAGGCCCCGTGTGCGTGGGGGACCTTGAGGCGAACGTGGGGACAAGACCCCCACACCCCCAGAGCTGCGAAGAACTTACGCACACGCACGGCTCAAGGGAGTGGCGGACGCAGGGCCCCGCACACGGTCGGGCAACCTCAGAGCCAGCACCAAGCCTCGGCCTGCCAGGCTCATGCTCACCACTGCGCCATGTCCCTGCTGCACCATCTTCTTACTGTGAAGACATTCACTCTGCGTCTCGCTCTCTTCTCATATAATTGGCGCAAACCCACCGAGGCCTGACTTGAGCCAGGCCACGGTGAGCGTGGGATGCAGCACCCTCCCGGCTCCTGGGAGCGTTTGTGTCTCTGCTGGCGCTGGCCTAAGTGACCAACCAGGACTGGTCAGCCTGCACGCCCCAAAAACCCCGCTGCCCACACAGGGACTGCCTGGAAAGTGAACCCCAGGTTCCTCTTCTTAGGAAGGCCTGAGAAAAACTGCACCCAGCATGAAACCATGGAAGTAACGCGATGCCTGAGTCCCCACAAATCCTGCCTGCTGTCCCAACAGAGGAAAGCCCTACTGCGCTCCCCCAGAGCCGAAGGTAAGGCAGAGAAGCCTCACCTTGCTGCTCCCAGCCGCCAAGCTGCAGGCCAGGGACCAGGAAGGCTGCCACGACCACAGGGGGACGGTAGGAGCAGGTGTGACCAAGAACAGCATGGTGGGGCCAGGCCGGGGGAGAGGCTGGCAACAGGCCAGGCCCCAGCAGATCCTGTGTGAGGTCAGCTGTGGGATCCCTGAGCCCATCCTCTGGTGCTCAGGGCTGGGCTCTGTGAAGCACAAGGCCTTGCTTGGACCTCTACTTTTCTTTTTAAATCATTCGTTTTAGCTGGGTGTGGTGGCGCACGCCTGTAATCCCAGCACTCGGGAGGCTGAGGCAGGAGGATTGTTGTGAGTTAGAGACCAGCCTGGGCTACAAAGTGAGACCTTGTCTCAAAAAAGACACACACATCCACAAAAATTAAGTCACTGGTTTTGCAGTGCTGGGGACTAAACCCAGGGCTTTGAGCAAGTGAGCTAAGTGCTCGGCACTGAGCTCTCTCCCGCTCAGATCTATAGACTGAGCTCCCTGCAGGGAAGAGCGGACCAGGAGCACCAGCCGGATGCGGGTGCAGGACCGGTGCGGCACGGACGGAGCTGGAACCACAGGCTCTCCCACCTGGTGGGGGGCAAGGAAGGGCCCAGAAGTCGAGGAGACGGGTGGAGTCTGTCAGGACAGAGGTGAGGGAGCGGAGGACAGGAGGAGGAGTGGCCAGGCCTGCAGGCCGATACCACACCAGGTGCGCCACCGCACACTGGGTGGAAGAAGAACTGAGGCAGGCAGCCGCGCCGGGCTGCACAGTAATCCGAGTGACACAACACACACTGCGGGGAGATGTCACCGGCCCAGGGGCCGCACTGCCCAGGACCTCAGGAATGGCCCGTGCTGTCCCTGAGATGCAGCCACACACACAGACCTCTGGTCGTCACATCGTTGTCCCCAGTCGCCCGGGTGTCCGCCTTGAGGCTGCGCTAGCGCTCGGGGCAGCAAAGCCGCGTGGTGGGGCGTGCAAACAGGCACACTGAAGGTCAGAAATACAGGCCCTGCGCATCTCAGTGCTGGGGTTCAAACCCCAACTCTGTTCTCGCCCGCTGTGTGACCTCAGATGGTCAATGGGCCTGAGCCTCCACTTCCACACCGGCTAGGGCGGGAACGTGACGCCCACCTCAGCGCTGCCAGGGAAGGCACGCAGCTCACAGTGCCCACCTCAGGGCCTGGTGCGAGGGCGTCAGACCGTTAGATCATAGGGCCTCCTCGTGACCACAGTGGCATCTCTGTGCTGCAGCAGCCACCACACCCACAGGCAGCCAGGCTTGAGTGACAAGGCGGGACTGCAGGGGTCTGGAGGCAGGGGCGGGGGGCGGGGCGGGAAACCTGCACCTCCAGGAAAGCAGCGGCGCGGGCGGAATCCCAGCCTCGCTAGGCTTTGCCTCCAGGGACGGAGAAGGCCCTGCCTGCCGCTCCCCGGGCTCCCACGGGAGCGAGGGCTCGAGGCCGGGCGGGCTATTTCCGACCCAGCATGTAGGAGCAGCAAATATGGTCAAGGAATGAGCCGGGGAGGGATAAACACCCGGGCGGGCGTGCCGCAGAACTCAGCTCACGCCTGGCTCCCCGCAGTGGGGATTTCTGGGTGAAGGTGAGAATTTATTGCCAGCGAGGGCTCTTAATCCGGGCGTCGCAGTCACCTGGAGGTTGCGTAGGAGGCCCGGGCTGCCCCCATTCTGGTGGGACGGGCCTGGCTGGAGAGTCCGAGACCCTGCTGGTCCGCTGCTCCATGTAGCCTGCTCTCCCCCGCCCCTGCTGGAGCTGCCCGGGCTGCGCACACTCCGAAGCGAGACCCAGTGCCCCAGTGCGGCAGCGGTGCCCCGCCCCTGCACACGCCCGAGGCCATCTCCCCGGCCCCACGTCCACGGAAGTGGGAGCTGCCCTCCCGACAGCCGGGAGAGCTCACCCTGCCCCGGCTGACCTCCGGGAGGGCCCTGGAAGCAGGACAGTGACAGAAACTGCAGCACTGGCCACCACTGTTGGTGGAGCGACTGCCCCTCTCCAGCATCGCCTCACAGCACCCCTACGCGGGCACTGGCCTTCCACCACTGTCGGCAGGCGAGGGACCGGGCCTGGCGGGGCTCAGGCTGGTACCGAAGGCACAGGGCTTGCAGGCGGACAGCCAGGCTCGGACCCCAGGCCCCCTCCTCCGAGGCCCCGCTCTCAGCCTCCCCTGGCACCGGGGAAACCGTTCAGCACTCTCAGTCCATGGAGGAGCAGCCAGCACCCCGTCCCCGGGAGCAAGCGCGGTGCCTTTGGGGGACACACCGGTGTGGGCCGCGGCAGCCCAAGAAGGTGGGGCTGTTTCCTACGGTCCTTTCTGGAGCACAAAGCCTCGGGCTCAAAACCGCCCCCACGGCCCCCTCACCCTTTCCTCCCTGCCCACAGGGTTCAGACAGAATTTTGAGTCAAATACAGCAAGGACAGGAGAGGCCCAGACAAGGGCGAAGTCCGGATGCTGGCAGCGTCAGCGCATGCACTCTGACCTCGGCGGCCATTCACTGCAGGGACAGGGCTTCCTGTGTGGCACACACGGCTTGGGGGCACCCAGCACACACCGAGGGCACAGGCCACGCTGGCCTGAAGGCACCATGGGGTCACGGGACGCCCTCTGCCTCACACTTCATCTTCAAACCACTTGGGGTCACATGAAAAACGACTTCAAGTACATTCCCAACGCACATCCAAAGCAACGAGCCGAGAGCCAGTGTCAGTCACCAGATGCAACAGCTGAGAGCCATGCACCTAAAGCAAAATTAAATCTCAGAAGATAATGCAAAGCATCAAAGCCAAACTGGCAGATCCCAGTGGCCTAGCTGGGCATGGCAGTGGCACTGTGGTCCCTGCTACTCAGGAAGGGGAAGCGAGAGGGGGATGAGGTCTGCCTCCCGCCCCACCAACCCGGTCTCACAACAAAGCAAACAGAAAGTGGACTAAGCATGCGTGCAGGTGCATGTCTGTAATCCCAGAGCCCTGGGAGGCTGAGACAGGGGAGTCCCAAGTTGGAGCCCAGCCTGGGTGACTCAGCAACTAGGTGGGACCCCACCTCAAAAAAAAGAAGGGCTGGGGATGCACCTTAGTGCAGAGGCCCAGATTCAACCCCCAGTGCTCACGGGGTGGAGAGGGAGAAGGGGCAACCAGGCCACGCAGCATGCAGAAGCCTCCCGCTCAGCACGCCACGCCACGCCACGCCAAGAGTCCCCAGCTCTGTGCAGTGCAGTGTGGGCCGGTCAGGCCCACTACACCGAGGCTGCAGCCAGAGGGTCTGTCCCTCTCATGACCTCCGCGCTCACCAGGGCCGTCCCCACTGGCAGGGGATGAGGGTCAGACTTCCCGCTGCTCATGACCCGGGCTGGTTGGGGGAAGCCCAGCGGCCCTGAGCACTGCAGTGACCTCCAGAAGAGCTGGCAGTGGAGCCCCAAGTCAGCAGCTCAGGCAGAGCAGGGCCCGGCGGGCCAACGAGGAGCATGTCAGCACGCCACAGAGCTGGGGACAAGGGTGGCCAGGAGCCTAGCATGCCTGGTTCCCCACGCTGGACAGGCAGGACGATGACAACGATGAT